TAAGATTTTATTTATTTATTTGAGAGAGAGAGTGAGAGAGAGCATGAGAGGGGAGAGGGTCAGAGGGAGAAGCAGACTCCCCACTGAGCGGGGAGCCCGATGTGGGACTCGATCCTGGTACTCCAGGATCATGACCTGAGCCAAAGGCAGTCACCCAACCAACTGAGCCACCCAGGCGCCCCTAGATTTTATTTTTAAGTAATCTCTACACCCGGCAGGGGGCTTGAACTCACAACCCCGAGATCAAGAGTTGCACGCTCCACTGACTGAGCCAGGCAGGTGCCTCTGTTTTTTTTGTTTTTGTTTTTGCTGTAGCCATCCTAGTGGGTGTAAAATGATACCTCGTTGTGGTTTTGCCTTGATTTCCCTAATGGCTAATGATATTGAGCATCTTTTCAAGTTCTTATTACCCATCTGTCTTTGGAGAAATGTCTGTTCAAGTAATTTGAGCAATTTTTTAAAATTTTATTTATTTATTTATTTGAGAGAGAGAGCACAAGTAGGCAGAGCAGGCAGAGGGAGAGGGAGAAGCAGGCTCCCTGCTGAGCAGAGAGCCCGATGCGGGGCTCAATCCCAGGACCTTGGGATCATGACCTGAGCCAAAGGCAGCCACTTAACTGACTGAGCCACCCAGGCGTCCCGTCATTTGACCAATTTTTAATTCTAGTTTCGTTTTTAAATCATGATTTCTCCAACTGGGTTCATACTAATGGAAGAGAGTCTAGGTCTTTTGGTTTCAACTTCCATTGGGGGACCGAGGCCTTTGGCTTCTAGTAACACTGCCTACTCCTTTTATCTGTCCATCCTAGGGTTGGTAGTTACCTCTTGCTGTCACTAATCTCTGGCCACTTCACTGGTCACTGTTTTGTTTTGTTTTGTTTTTTTAAGGGGGTTGGGTCAGAGGGAGAGGGTAGAGAGAGAATCCCAAAAGCAGGCTTCACACCCAGCATGAAGCCCGTGGCAGGGCTTGATCTCACAACCCTGAGATCACAACCTGAGCTGAAATCAAGAGTCAGACTGAGCCATGCAGGCACCCCTCCTATTGGTAAAAACTTTTGAAAATATACTCCCATTATATGTGTGTGTGTGTGTGTGTATATATACACACTTATTTATAATTGTATTAAGTACATGGCCCATTGAACTGGTGTGAACATTATAAAACATTAACAAACGTTGACATATAAAGGACACGGTATACAAATTAAGAGGAAAAGTTCTAAAGCTTTTTCTCACCCCAACAGATAATCTTGTGCATCCCAGAGTACACCTACCCTAGTTGGACACAGTTCTAGAGTGTGTCATTAAGGGCTGCTGAAGGATCTCAGACACATTCTGCTGAAGTGCTTACATGTTCACCAAGCTTAGGGAAAATTTTTTAAATGGTCTCTGACTTCAACTCCCTAACCTATTTTAAGTTCCTTAATTCAAACACAAAGTCATAAAACCAGCTCCATAAACTCACTAGCCTCCATTCTAAGTAGTTCCTCAGAATCATAATCAGAGTCTGATGTGCACAGCCTCTGGACTTAGGAAGTGTTCATTAGACTTTTTTTTTTTTAAAGATTTTATTTATTTATTTGACAGAGAGAGACACAGCAAGAGAGGGAACACAAGCAGGGGGAGTGGGAGAGGGAGAAGCAGGC